GGACACGCACACAGAGGCGGCCGGTGAACTAGTTGATGGACGAGTCACAACGACTGCGCGTGACACACCGACAAACGCTCGCAGCCACCGGCCTCCACGAGGCTGGTCTGTCAGCCTCAGACCAGACGCCACGCAGTGGGTGTGAGCTGTGGGCCCCGGTTCCGAGGGGTGGGGACACCGCAGGTCGCGCTCAGATGGGCCAGGGATGCGGGAGCGTAGCATCCCCTCCCCTCCCTGCGTGTCTGCTCCGAATCTCAGTGATGAGAAGGGGTGGCCGTTCCCCCAGCTAATCGGTGCAGTGATTTCCGAAGCACAGACACGAGATTCCGGGTGTGTCCTCCGCGGACAGCTGTGCGCTACCAGGGTCCTCGAACCGCGGCCCGCGGGCCACATGCGGCCCCCGGAAACACTTCTCCGTCCTGCCGGTGCTTTTGCCGCCGCCGTGTGCATAGGAACGTGTTCGTAGTTTTTTTTTAAACTACAGTCCGGCCTCCAGTGGTCTGAGGGACAGTGAACTGGCCCCCGTTTAACGAGTGTGAGGACCCTGCGAGCCATCCACGGCCTTCACGCCCTGACCTGGTTTGTGCTGCAAGTGAGGACAGAACGAGAAACCCACTGTGTGCGCGAGGACGCGGATGATTTAAGAAGCATGTGACATGCAGCTATTTTATTTATTATTATTGTTACTCCTCACCCGAGGACATTTTTCCATTGATTTTTAGACAAAGACACAGGGAAAGACAGAGAGAAACACATTGATTGGTTGCCTCCTGCACGAGCCCCGACCAGGGCTGGGGAAGAGCCTACAACCGCCTTTGACCAGAATCGAACCTGGGCCCCTTTGGTCTGCAGGCGGATGCTCAATCCACTGAGCCACACCAGCCAGATTTGGGACATACAGGATTTTAAAGGAGGGTTAGCAGCCATGAAATAGATCCGATTTTGGCCCGACTGGTGTGGCTCCGTGGTTGAGCGTCGACCTATACACCATTCAATTCCCAGTCAGGGCACAGGCCTGGGTTGCAGGCTCCATCCCCAGTGAGGGGCGTGCAGGAGGCAGCCGATCAGTGATTCCTTCCCAGCATTGATGTTTCTCTCTCCCGCTCCCTTCCTCCCTAACATCCATAAATATATATTCTCAACAAAGAGAGAGGGAGGCCAATGAGACGGGAACCAGGGGGGACAGACGGGCCATGGGACAGTGGCTGCCACCCCAGGCCCAGGTCAGGTCCGACCCCCACCTGCTCTCCCCCTGCAGGTGCCGGAGCCCCAGGACCACGGCCCCTCCCCTGAAACCACAGGCTACACCTTAGGCCGACTCAAGCCTCTGGCGGCTGCGACCGTCCCTGCTCATCCTCCTCGAGCCTCGAGCCTCGTGGCTGCGGCAGGTGGGGAAGCGGTAAAACCAGAAGAAAATGTCACATAAAACCCAGTTTGTGCAAATCAGGTGACTTCCTGCAAGTCTGTCAGAAAACGCATTTCCCATAAACGTCAAATACCTGGAAAATGTCCTTAAAATCTCTCCAGACACCGCCGCCTCTGCATCACGCTCCGACCCGCAGGGCGCAGCCGCGAGGACGGCCTCCCGTGAAAGCAGACGCGTGCACCCTCCGTTGGAAAAACATGGCCCGTTTATTCGAACTGAAAGGCATCGTTACATAGTGCAAACGTTTCTTTGGTAATGAACTGGTTACAAGGAACACAGGTAAGGCACCTGGCTGCTGCAACAGTTAGGAAGGTAAATACACACGGACACTTCGCTTCCCACCACGCGACCCCCGCGGCGTGTCCGCACTGTCCACGGCTCCCCACGCACCGAGACTCCACCTCGACCCGCAGACACGCCACGCTTCCCTGTGGGCCGGCCCCGCCCCCCCGGTTCACGTGCCTGTCACCTCTGCCACGAAACCACAGGTAACCCTCCCGCACGGATGGTCTGCCGCCGCCTGACACCGAGCACCTACAGAACCACCCGCCTTCCACACCACGCTTCCTCCTCGTGACAGGCCCTGGTCCCAGGTCCTGACTCCATCTGACTTGATAGTTCACAGGACGCCCATGTCCTGAGCCACGGGGCCAGCTGTTCCCTGCCACTCCCGACCCGCGGCCGAGAGGTCAAGCCGCCGCATTTACAGCTTTGACTACGCTCCCGTGGAGACGTCCGCCAAGCCCTCCCCCCCCGGGGACGTGGCAGCCTGCGGCCCACCTGGACCGGAACCAGCTCTGAAACTGCCCACTGCCTGCGGGACGCTGCGAGCCTCGCCCCCACGTGTCCCAGAACACAGATCTCTGCATTCAGAACAGAACAGGAGGTTTGGTCATTAAGGCGAGCGCGGCCTGAGGTACGAGGTGCTTTTCATGGAACCCTAAAGGCCTGCACAGTGGCAACGATTTCTCTGCCGCATCGAACACTGGACGCCGGGTCGGCTTTCACACTCTCCGGCGCTTGGAAATGGGGTGAGGGACGGGTGCTGTCTCTAAGGCACCCACAGCCGAGTCAGGGAGGAGGCCGGTCCCTCCGTGCGGCGGCCGGGAGCGGCCTGGGGAGCGCGAGCCCGGCGTGGCCACCACGAAGCGGGGTTCACGCCTGGCCCACCACCGGGCAGCAGGGTTCTAGGGACAACAGGCCTGTTTCTAAGCGGCCGCAGCCTCAGTCACGGGGACAGGAGTGGAGAAGCAGCAGGTGCGCGTGGAGCGGGGACCTGCCGTGAGGAGTTGCTGGTGTGCGTGGACCATGGCAGAGGCCAGGGAAGGGGTCGGGGCTCCGGGCCAGGCGCCTGTGCCCCCGGGACAGGCTCCGGAGGGACTGCTCCATCTGCCAAACACCGACGTTCTCTTGACACGTGCGTGCCACAGGCTCCGTCCCGGGCAAGCGGAGCGGCTCTCCGTCGAGAGGAAGTGGTGGGATGGGGGACATCACTCTGGGGGCCTAAATGACTTAACTGCGCGGTTTAATAGTAGCACCACTTTTTCATTAAAAAAATTAAATAAAAACCTGAGAATCTAACAAGAAGTTAGGACTCGTGTCTGTTCCCACCCGCGTGTCCACGGCGTGGTCTCCGGCTCCGTGGACACTCCAGTCTGGGCCCCTGTGCGGCGTCCGAGACGCCCGGCTATGGCCGTGAGCCGTGGCAGGCTTCCACGAAGCAGGTGATCTGCCCGTCCTGGAGGGAGACGGCGCCCGACCGGTCAGTTCCGGGGACGACCCCGCGCATCACGCCCGCTTCCCACCGTGTTCCAGCCTGTGCCCGGGTCTGACTGCTCGGTTCTTCCTGTCCCCAGCGGTCTTCCCAGAGCTTCCTGCCCGGCCAGCTGCAGCCCGACCCCGGCCACAAAGGACCCAGCGCCTGCCCACTGTCCCTGCAGGCGTGCACCCCCATGGCTGCCCAGGGAAGAGGGAGGAGACCCCACCGGTGAGCGGGGCCTTGCTGACCACCTGGCCGCCCACTGGGGGCTCAGGACTCTGCAGCTGAGTCCGTGGTCCAGGCCCCGGGTCCCCGAGACAGAGCTGTACTCACGCGGCATTCACAGATGGTGCACACGTCTCGCTTCCACCGGGCGCCATCCGCGTGGGGCTCGCCATCCACGTCGGTGCACTCGGCCGTGCTGAGCCGAGACTCAAGTTTCTTTATCTGCAAAGGCAACGTGTGCGCCGTCAGTCCACGGGAGTGTGGCCCTCGCCCCGCCCGCCCCGGGACACGGCGCCTCGCGACGGGCAGGGACGCAGGCACGTTTCTGCAGGATGTTCTGGGGCTCAAATAGCTCCCCTGACAGCAATGGCTTTTCCCAGAGCTCTGGGACAGCCCTGCCCGCTTTGCCTCCGGTGGGCGTGCCCACATCTGAATGCTAGTGGTTCCTAAGAACGAAGCTTCAGGGGAAGGCTGAAGCCCCCTTGCACCCAAGTCGCCAGGCCTCAGGCACTCCAGTCTCACAGGTGGAGGAGGGGGACGGGGGGCCTACAGCCAGGCAGGTGCAGCTGTGGGCCCTGGGAAGGAGGCCCTGCCCTGGGAGCTGGGGACCCCCAAGGCCCTGCCCGGGAAGCTGGGGTCACCCCGAGGCCCTGCCTGGGTAACTGGGGTCACCCCAAGGCCCTGCCCGGGAGCCTGGGTCCCACTGAGGGTCCTGATTGCTGGGAAACCGAGGGACTCAGTGTGGCCAGCCCAGGAGAAGAGCCAGCAGGCAGTGAGACCCCTGGCCCCAGGCGAGGGGCGTTGCAGAGTTCACACCGGGGCCAGAGATGAGTCTGTGGGAGACGTGAGCTAAGAGGGGGGACGGTGGGGTGGCACCTGTGTCCGGAGGTCCGTGATGGTCTGCTGCATCTCCAGCACCAAGTCCCGGAAGTCGCTGGGCCCCAGGGCCTGGGGGTGCTCAGAGGAGGCAGCCGTGGCGTTCCTGGGGCGCTGGCCGGGCTTCCCGACGCTGCAGGAGGGGAGACGGGGAAGCAGACAGGAGGCGTCGCACACACACCACAGGCCCCAGGGCACCTGGGCTGTCTGGGGCCCAAGACCCAGCCGGCGGCTGGTGGGACGTCCCTTCCCAGGGCCCGGGCCGGTCCGCGGTGTGGACACTCTGACCCTCGGGGACGCCATACCTCAGTGTCGTCCCTGCTTCCGTGGGGGGCTCACCCTCCCGGTAACTGACGTCAAGGGAGCGCCGGCCTCGGAAATGGTAGGAGAAGGCGCTGAACTGCCCCCGGGTCCTGCAGTCTGGGGAGGGGGAGGGGAGGGTGAGCTGTGAGCAGCTCCGACTTCGGGACAAAGTCAGTGCGTCCCGGTCCTGCACTCGCTCGCCTGGGACGAACCCCGCTCCTCACGGCCATGGGGGCCTGGCAACAGCCCTGCTCGCCACAGAGCATCAGGCCCGGGCAGGGCCGCGTCTGGTCGGAGAGAGGCCCGCGGAGGGAGGCGCCACGGAAAGATCAACCGGGGTCAGACCAGGACGTTGCCGCGAGCGGTGACAGACGGCGGGAAGGGAGCCCGTGGCCCTGGGCGCAAACAAGGCTCTGTCTGCGCAGAATCTCCCGGTTTGGGGCCTAAAAACTTGAGTGAATGATCGAGGAGCAGCACGACGCCTGCAGCTTCCTCAGCCACCGAGGAACGTAATATTTACATAAAACACACGCACAGCCCGGCTGGTGTGGCTCAGGGGTTAGCACCGACCTATGACCCCGGTTGTGGGCTCCACCCCCAGTGTGGGGCGTGCAGGGGGCAGCCGATCAGGATCCGTTCTCATCACTGATATTTCTCTCTCTCCCTTCCTCTCTGAAATCAATGAAAATACACTTAAAAAAATAAACATAGCATGCAGACACGTGTACACACACAAGAACACATGGAACACGACCCGTCATTGAAAATCCTCCACGGACCCCTCGACACAGGCACGCCTAAGCCAGCGAGGGCGCCGCCGCGCCTGCTCCCCACCCCCTGCTGGCACCGCCGCCTCATCACGGGCAGAGAGCACGGCGCCCACCACGGCGGGCGCAAGGGCTGGGGGCTACCTTCACAGCAGTCCTGCCAGACCCGCAGGTCCACCCTGGGGATGTCGTCGCAGCTGCTGTAGCCGTGGGGGTACTCCGCCACCCGGAACACGTCCCTCTGCACACGCGTGATGTTGTCCGAGTTGTCGCACAGGATCCTGGCCAGCGACGTCTGCTTGATCTGCGTCAGCTGGGCCGGCGAGAACACCCCAGGGTTCTCGTACCACAGCCTGAGTCCCGGGAGGAGAACGAGATGGGGAACCTGGACTCAAACCACAGCACCCGAACTCAGCAGCCTCATCCGTCCCCAACAAGGCAGACGCCCCTGGTTTTAACGGGTCCACATGACAGTGGGCAACACACGGCTCGCACTTCCCGCTCGAAACAAAGCAAAACAACCGAGTGAAGACCCAGAGACGGGCGCCGGACCAGGCTGCACAGACCCCTTCGCCCGTCGCACGCCCGTGGCCCCAGCCGGACGGCTCGGCGACAGGAGGGACCGCCTGCCACCTGCTGAGCTGACTGACCAAGTGACCACGCGGCACCTTGAGACCCCGCCCGAGCTCCAGTG